AGTTGGTCATCCCTGTCTACTCTGTGTATCTAGGGGGTAGGAATGATCCTTGCTGTAAAGATTTGTTCCCTATTTTGAGCTACTGCATTCATAGGTATAGGTCAAATTCATCAAATTTTATCAGATGACTGTGCAGTCTGGTGCATTAACCCACAGCGCCACACCAGGACTCCAATGTCATGCTAGTAGTTACCCCACTGTAATTTTTCCAGGTGTTAGTTAAGCCACTGCAACACCAGACCTCTTTCACCATAATGTTAATTCTATTTACTCATTTTACTGACATACATGAATATTCAAAGAAAGTTCAATAAAATCAACTTTTCATGGTTCTGTGTTTCTTTTCTGGCCATTACTATTCTTTCATTTCATGGTTATTTGAAAATACGGAATGTGAAATATGAAAATAGTTTTGTCTTGTAGAGGAGGGAGTATTAAAATGATTTGCTCAAATTTAAAGTCATAAAAACCAACAACAACCCAGGCTTAATGGTCAGATAGAGACTAGTAGGACCCCTGAGACTATGGCCCTTTACAACTCTTCAGATCTGAACTGAACTTACCCCCATGGCTCAATTTACAGCAAAGCAATCGAGAGGAATACAGGGATCAAGAACCATAGTGAGGTACATGCAGCATAGGATGGTCAACCATCCAAGGTTGAAAGGGTAGCATTTACTTAAGGGCAAACTTCAGAAGGGTTGGGAAAAAAGGAGGACTGGAAATAAGAATCACAGGGAGGAAGCAGGATAAGTGATGTGGCATGGAGGGAACTGCAATTGAGATGAAATGAAACAAAGTGTAGGATTTGTTGGATGTGAAACTGATCATCTGCTTTGTTAACCTTCATTAAATAAAAAAGTAACAAAACAAAACAAAAAGATGTGTTTCATTTTCACATGAGTCACTCCACAAATATTTTGTACATACCATGTTGAGAGAAGAGAGAGCCTTGGTGGCTCAGTGGTTAAAATGTTTGTTTAAGAACAGAAAAGTTCTGAAGTGTGAGACTACCAGTCACTTCATGGTAGAAAGATGTGGAAATCTGCGACCCTAAAGATAATAGACGTGGAAACTTTCTGGGGGCAGTTCTACTCTGTCTTTATAGGGTTGTGATGAGTAGGAATTGACTCAGCAGCAAATGGGATGTTGGGAGAAACCCAAGAAGTGTGGAAAGTAGAAGAGGCATCAAATGCAAGTCAGAGACGGCACCTGGATGAGGTGATAGTTGAGCTGAAGCCTGAACTGCATCAAAGCCACCATTTCTCAAGGGATGCTCTCGACTCCACCATCCATATTGGTAGTTCGAGACATACTGGTAGCTTGCTGTCCTACTTGTTAGGTAGACCAAGTATTCTTGCTTTCACCAAAGGTCCACTAATCATTTATATCCATTCTTAATTTATCAAACTTGGCTCCTACAATTAGCCCTCTCTGTTTCAACATCAGTTTCTCTTATATTGAAGGAACCCCATCAGTCTATGACATACCTTCTTTAACTTCGCATTCCCTTGCAACTACTAATTTCTCTGCTCTCATTCATAGTACAATTTCTTTGAAAGACTTGTTGATAGGGCCTCACCACTATTTCCATGCAGACTACACTCAAATTCACATTTAAAGTCTGACCTCTCCCTGAGCACAGTTAATGTTGTTATTAGTTGCTGTAGCATCGGTCTTGCACTATCCTCACAATTGTAATCTTTGAGTCCATTGTTTATGCCATGTGTCAAATCATCTTGTTGGACTGCTTCATCTTTTTTACTGAATATCCATAAAATAGTTCATTCTAGATAAGTATATAAAGTTAGCATAATGGTACTTATTGTATAAATTAAGTCAACAGAATTAACATTATGGTACAAAGAGGTCTGGTGGTGCAGTGGATTAACTAACATCTGGAGCACATTTATTAGACATCTCAAAATCAACATGTTTAAAGTGGATTCTTGTTCCAACTGTCCCCAAATCTGCTCTTCTTCCCATGGTTACCAAATGGCACAGACACCACTTATTGGTACAAGTTAGTCATCTAGGAGTCTTGTCTGGTTTCTCTTTTCCTCTCCATCCCATTCAGATCCATTATCAAGCTCTGTCCCTTTTAATTCCAAAATATTCTATCATCACTATCTCCTAACATCTCATCCTTTAGTTTCTTTCTAACTGGTGCTTCTGTTTCCATCTCCCTCCCCTCTCCCCCTTCCCCAATAATTCAGAAGCCCCTATAGGACCTAAATGATTATTTTTAAATGTAAATCAGGTCATATAAAATTTCCTGCTTAAAATCCTTCAATGATTTCCTATTGCACTGAGAAAAAAATCCAAACTGCTGTCCATGGTCTTCAAGACCCTAAGGTAGTCTGTCCTGGCCACGTCTTTGTCCTCATTTTCTATTTGTCTCTTTGCTCACTTCACTGTGGTCACCTGACTTACCTATTCTCTAACAGTAAAGTTTTCTCTTATCTCAGATTCCTTTGATCTTATGGTTGGTTCTTTTTGGATATATAGTTCCCAGCTCATATTATCTTATTTTGTATTCTTCATCATACATACATACTCACCACCATCTGAAACTATTGACTTTACTATGCATTTCATGTGTTCTGTTTGACATTGTATTGCTTTTTCCTAAAAAACAGTTCCTGGGACTCATTGTTGTTGTTGTCAGGTGCCATCCAGTCAGTTCTAACCCATAGCAACTTCCAAAAAGTGGCTGCTGGGTTTGAACTGCTGACTTTTGGGTTAGCTGTTCAATGTCTAACCTACAGTGCCACACCAGAACTCCTGGGACACATCATCATCATCATTAAATGCTGTTGAGTCAGTTCTGACTCATAGCGACTCTGCATAAGGTTTCTGAGGAGTGGCTGGTGTGTATGAACCGCCAACCTTGTGGCTCAAATACACCTTTTGGTCCAATGCTTATCCGACAGCACCACACCAGGACTCGCTGGGACACAGTGTTGTTGTTAAGTGCCATCGATTCAATTCTAACTCATAGTGACCTTGTACAGGAGCAGCTGGTAGATTTGGCTCGCTAACCTTTTGGTTCCCAGTCCAATGCTTATCCTACAGCACCACACCAGAACTCCTGGCACACATTAGGTACTCAGTAAATATTGTAAAGAAATGCTGCCACGTAGCTGTCTTCAGGTTGGACCGGTAAAGGGACAAATAGAGGTGTTCAGCCTGCAGCAAAGATGTGGCCCTGCAGGAGCTTAGGACAAGAACACTGACTTGGCCCTGCCATCCACTTCAGCCTCCTGTCCCCATTTCTCAGGCCTGCCTTAAGTCTGAAACTCGGAGACCCTAGTCCCCACTCAGTCAGAGACGGTCAAACTGTAGAGTGAATACGGTGGGAAGGGTTGTTGTCGTTGTTGTCAGGTGCCATCGAGTCGGAACCGACTCATAGCGACCCTATGCACAGCAGAACGAAACAATGTCCGATCCTGGGCCAACCTCACTACCGCTGCCACACTTGAGTTCATCAATGATGCCACCAGGCCAATCCATCTCATTAGGGGTCTTCCTCTTTTTCTCTGACCCTCCACCTTACCCAGCATGACATCCTTCTCCAGCAACTGTTTCCTCTGGACAATATGTCCAAAGTATGAGAGACGAAGGGTATGAGTGGGAAGGGTAGAGTAGTAGGCGTAATTACTTTTAAAATTGGTAAAAGTATGAGATACGCTTTTAGTGACCCTGCCTACAATCTGATAGGCTGAAGACTGAAGACCCAGTAGGCAGGGTAGGGCAGGGCAAGGCGGGCCTAGCAGCTGATAGGGGCTCTGGGAGAGGGTACTGCCCTTGACTCCGCCCCCTGGCTTGGCGGGAACTAGAAGCTGAGCTCAGTGATTGTGGCGTGGTGGTGCCCTGAGACCCGAGCTGCGACGCCACAGCGGCAACACTCAGTTCTGGTCTGAGGTGGGTCTGGACACGTACACAGTGCGTAGTGCAGCAGATTCGAAGTCGAAATGGAGCAGGAGGCCAAGAAACTGAGTCAGTGGCAGAAAGCGATGCAGGACCAGCCCGAGGTGGTGAGTCCCAGAATCAGTTCCAGGGCCTTGTGGGGCTCTGAGCCAAGGGAGGGAAGTAAAAACCTGAGGTTGAGTGGGGTGAGGTGGGGTGGGGTAGGGGCTAGAAGCCCTGAGAGAAGGAGTTTGGGAGATCAAGAACAGAATCAAGTCGGTTTATTCGACTGGGGTTAAAGGTTCCAGGCAATTTTCCATATAGGGAGCTAGGAGGACTGGGTACCGAGAAAAGCAAAGTCAGAGTTGGGAACTCAGCAGGAAAGGGGCAGGGAAAATTTTTTTTTTTAATTTTAATTGAAGTCCATAGTAGATGCTAGGCCTTTGCTAGGCCCTGGGAATACTACGGCGAGTTTACCATGTTGTTGTTAAGTGCCGCCGAGTCGGTTCCGATTTATAGTGACCCTGTATAGGGTTTCCAGAGAGCGGCTAGTAAGCGTTCAAGGTGAACCGCTCACATTGTGGGTCAAGCCGACTTTGCAGTCCAGCGCATTAACCCACAGTGCCACACCAGGGCTCTGAGTTTACCATTATTGCCGTTAAGTGCCGTCAAGTTAGTATCATCTAGCTGGTTACGGATGCATGTTGTTGTTGTTGTTATGTGCCATCGAGTCGGTTCCGACCCATAGCGACCCTGTATAGAGTTTCCGAGGGTGTAAATCTTTACGGGAGTAGAAAGCCTCATCTTTCTCCCGCGGAGCAGCTGGTAGTTTCGAACCGCTGACCTTAAGGTTC